ATTTTTGTTAATTATTCTAAAAGTTCAGTTATTCGAAAGCCGTGTAACTTTGTTGATACCTTCTTCTTCTTTTTTTTTTTTTTTGCATCGTCTCTCGCATATTTTGTAGCTGCTCGGCGAGCCCATGTTTTATATAAGCATATGTGACTGTCCTCCCGTTGGGTATCTGTATCTTATGTGCCAAACCGCTTGTATACGTATCTGGGCTGCGTTTCCTTAAACTTTCCGTTGCCATCCGGCAGATGCTCTTCTCTCTCTCTATCTCTTCTTTCCTATGTGCCTCTCTGTCACTCGCTTGGCTGGCAATTATGAAAAGCAAAATAAAAATAGCATTTTTAGCGCTTGGCTGCAAATTTCTTCGCACAGCAAACTTTGTCCAAAAAAATAAGGGTAAAAAAATATATATGGAAAATAAAAAACGAAAGATATATATATGTATGTATATATATGAAAAGGAGCGACAAAAAAAGAGTATGTCTATAGATTTTGTACTGCAAGTTGGGTTACTTGGGGACGGTTTTTGCAAATGACAAAAAATTTTTAGTGTAATTATCTTTTGAATAATTAAAGAAAAACGTTGGCGCAGCTTAACAAGGAGCAGAACGCTGCGAAAATAGCGCAAAAACTGTGCCAGCAACAGGACCAACAGCAGGACGACAAATACAACGCACACACACACACACACGCACACAGAGTGGATGTTGATAACTAAGGCTGGCATCGCTTTTCGCCTTCGCTCTTCCACATCCCGCCCACACCCACACCCACAGCCTGGACATATTTTTAAGTTTTCCTTTTGCCTAATGCCTCGAAGCCCTGTAGGGCACTGGCGCTGTCGTGGGCGCCCGTGTAGGCGAGGGCGTGGCCATGGCAGAGCCACCCAACTGCTTAGCGTTCGAAGCACACGCGCTGTAATTTGCTTCAAGTTATGCTCATTATGCGCCAATTATTTATGTCAAATGAAAAAAAAGGCAGCCAAAAAAATTCGTGAATGTTCAAGGGGGAAAAATCACGAAGATTTTGCTTTGGGTCGATTGCGAGCAAAGGTAAACCACAACGAAATGCACCGGAATATAGGTAATAAAGGGAAATTCGTGTTAAGTGGAACAAATCTAAATGAAATTTTTCATAATCTACAGCAAGCAGGAAATACTTGACTCGGGAGCTGAATGAGGATTGCAAGAACGTAATACTCCTTAAAGAATATGAATTAAGCATGGGCATACTCTATATAGGTAAGGCTAAAGGGGAGTTTTTCATTCAGCTGTCGTTTAGATTTCCATATTGCATCGTTTGAAAATACTTTTATAGAACAATAATCTAATATGAGAAATTGAGAATGTCGAATCAAAATTGGAATAAAACAGAGTTAATTACATACGTATACTATATTATTTTTAAATTATTATTATAAATTAAGTTTAAAGTTATTTCCAAGGCACTATATTTAAAATATCATATAATTTACCAACTTCTAGCAAAATTTGCTTATCTTTCAAAAAATCTTTCTTGGCGTTTCACCAAACCTCAAACCTATTTATTCTCTGCATTTTAGCTCAAGGTCCAAAAATGTCTGCACATGCTCAAGCTTCGCCACGGAGCTAAGCCGAAATGGCATTAAATGTTTTTAATTATCTTTTAAAGTCTGACAGGAGAAATGTTGCATAAATAAATGAAAAGTCTAATTTTATATGTTAGCTGCTGATTATAGCTTAAAATCTGTATATATGTATATAGCAAATTAATGTGGTATATAACACTAGATAAGAAATCAAAGCAAAACCTGTAATAACTTCCATTTCCTTATAAATAACCATTTTAAAAACAGATAAATCAAGATTTGTATGACTTAAGAAATTTTAAAAACTCTCTTGGAGCAGGTTGACTGAAAGAAAATGAAGACATTCATCAATTTTACTCTGTTTTATTTGATTTTCCAATATCTATCGCTTTTAAATGAAACCAGTCCAGATTACAGCACATTATTTTACAGATTTTTGAATTTATTTTAAAGACTCATTCAACGCTTCTTTCGTGCATTCAAAGCAATCCGAACAGAAACACACACACCCGCACACAGCCACTCACATACACACACACACACGCACACACACACATAATCGCAGCTAACGCAACGACTGTGCTTGGGCCTCTTTGTGGGTTCGAGTTTACTGAATGAAATTAATTGTTGAAAAATTGTTGTGCCAAATGCAGTTTCTTAATGACATGAATGAATTCAGAGCATAATAATGGCATACAGCTGCATGAATATGCCAAAGAATAAGTCGTTACGAATTTAAATACTTTTACTGAAGGTATCCAAGATTCGAAATAAAGTCAGTT